GAGGTAACCCTGGAGTCCTCCCAGAAGAGTTGGAAGAGGAGACAGAGGTCTGGACCTCCATGATCCACCTGCTGCCCCCGAGAACTGATGATGGATGGATGGATGGATGGATGGATGAACAGATGGTTTCACCACCTGAACTTAATTTCTCACCTTTGTGGAGGAGAACATGGAGACCAACAGCTCAGACCACCACAGTCCCTGTCCAGGATCTGTGGTCCAGGATCTGTGGTCCAGGATCTGTAGTCCAGGATCTGAGGATCTGTGGTTCAGGATCTGTGGTCCAGGATCTGTGGTCCAGGATCTATGGTCCAGGATCTGTGGTCCAGGATCTGTGGTTCAGGATCTGTGGTTCAGTATCTGTCTTCCAGGGTCTGTGGTTCAGGATCTGTGGTTCAGGATCTGTGGTCCAGGATCTATGGTCCAGGATCTGTGGTCCAGGATCTGTGGTTCCAGTGTGGAACGTGTCTCTTGGAGTCCAAATCTCAGTGTCCCATGTGTCCCACCGGTCTGTCCTCCGGCTCTTGTCTGGATCATGAGACCGTTGTGGTCTGACCGGTGGTTAGTCACGCGGCCGGCGTTGGCCCGGGTCCATCAGAACTGCAGGAGCGGTCCTGATGATGTCATCTGAAAGGGCCTCACAGGATCCGGTCCACAGATTTTAGCTGCTTAAACCCAAGCAGCCGAAACTCTTCTGATCTGAGCAGAGAGGRGGTCTGGAGGTGGACACATGGACCGGACTCTAAACCTGTGGACCTTCAGCACATCCTGCAGCTTTAGAGTTGGACTCATTTTTTATTTCATTTAAATTTAATTAAAAGTTTTTAAAAAACCGAGCAGCAGTTTAGTTTAGGTTTCAGGTTTCTGTCTTTGTTTCTGTTAAAAAATAAAACCTCGAAGGTTAAAAATTCCTGGTTTCATCTCAGAACCACCGTGGCTGCCGGTGATTCATGAGCTGTCTGCTCAGTAAACATCAAACCTGCTGAAGGTAAACATGTTAGTGCAGCAGAGCCAGACCCCCAAGGCCAGGTCTGAACCGAGGTCTGATCCTGGACCCTCCAGGACAGAGTCGGTTCTAAAAATAGAAACAATAATTATCTCTTCAGTTTCAGGAGAATCTGCTCAGAAAACTGATTATTAACCATTTTAAAGGGTTTTAAGGATGTTAACGATGACTTCATTCATTTTAATAAGAAAAAATGACATAAAAGCTAAAAAAATTAATTGTTTAAATTGCTAAAATACCAACATTTTAAGCCCAGAAAAATTATAGAACAAGTCAGATGCCAAAAAACATCTGGAAGAAAAATGAATCATGTTGATCGTCTGAATAATTTATAATAATTCACATGATAAGACCTCAAAGAAAGTTAACTATCGAAACTAAAACAAATAAAACTAGCATGTTTACTGAATTAAGCAAAGCTAAAATTATCACAAATAGCTGAAATACTAAAACGTACTTTAAATTGCAGAAAACAGCTGAACAAAGCATTTAAAGCTTAAATTAACAGAAGCAGAAACAGAAGTACAAAATGTTTTAAATCAACAGAAAAGAGCAGAAAGATAGCTGAAAAAGCAGGTGAAATTAGGCTGCAGGAAGCTGAAACTAGTACAAAGAAGTTAGAAAAGAGTGAAAAGTGCAGTTAAAGTTTAGAAACATAGTTTTATGGATGTTAAATGGACCAAAAATCATTTTAATTAGAAAAGAAAATGAACAAAAAGGTTAAATGTAAACTGCTGAAGTAGAAAAATGTCCTGAAGGAGCTGAATGTTTCCACTCATCCAGATAAATAAACCGCAGAGATGTGTTCACACAACAGATCACTGTGAACCATGCAGGTTGTGGGCGGAGTCTTTGCCTCAGTGGGAGGAGTTATGGGCGTGTTGGTGGGAAGGGGCGGGGCCTCATCCTCTATGATGAGGATCAGCAGAGGTGGTTGTGAGGAGGCCTCTGGAGTTTCTCTGAGATGTTTTACAGTTTTAGGTTTGTCTGTGTGCAGGAGCTGGATCTGCACCTGCCTCCATGAAGCCCCTCCCCTCTGAGGAGGAGCCCACCTGTCTGGTTAACTGCTGACAGACTCCCCGCAGCAGCTGATGCCCTCCTGGGCCTGGCGCCAGCAGGAAGAGGAGAACCATCTGCTGGCTGCCTCCGTGCTGAGTGAGTGAGCGACGAGGCTGGCAGTAATCAGCTTCTCGTTAGGATTTGCTTCTATTAGCAGAGCGGAGACGTGCATCACCGGGGATTTRTCAACAGCACCTTTTAGAGACACGTCGAGTCAGTGTGAGCTGCAGAAATCAGCTTTCAGTGGAATCWAACAATCAGAGCTGAGAGGATGAAAGTTTGGCTGCATTAATGTGACACCTGGTGAAACCATAACTGAAAAAAAAATAACATTTAAGCAACAAAAACCCTTTAAAGGCTCTTTTTGGTTCATTTCCCTGCCTTTTCTTTTAGTCTTCCTCATCGTCTTCCTTCCAAAATCAGCTCAGARATGTGGCGGAGAGAAAAAAGGCCCAGTTTGAGCATATGGTGAGACGTTCTGGTGCCAGCTGTCCCTGTGGGGCTTCAGCTGACAGCGAGGGACGGCGACATGTCGCTATGAAACATGTAAACAGGAAGCAGACGAGAAAATATTCTGCAGATTTAGTTTCTTTTTCAATAATCAAGTTGACTTTACAATGAAAACCGTGTGGCTAATCTAATCTAATCTAATCCAATCCAACTTTATTTGTAAAGCACTTTTTGCACCATAGAACAAAGTGCTGCAGAATCAACATTCAATCACAGCTCATACAAAAACAAACTATCAAAATTAAGATAATTAAAAAACAGAAAAAATAAATAAAAGCAGGAAATAAAAACCTACGTCGGAGTATTAGGGCCACACAAGATTTTTTTTTATTTTTAATATTACGACATTAAAATTGTATAAAAATAAAGTCATAATATTATGAGAATAAAGTCATAATATTAAGTTTAGTTTATTAGTTTAAAGTTTTAATATTACGAGTTTAAAGTCATAATACTATGAGTTTAAAGTTGTAATATTATGACTTTATTCTTGTAAAATTACGACTTTAATCTTGCAATAATAATTTAAAAAATCTCGTGTGACTCTACTCCGTCGTAAATAAAAAACCAAGTAAAAACAAGCAATAAAAAACAATAAAATGCCTAAAACCTCATTTAAAATTTACAACAACAAAAAAAAAAAAAAAACAAGACAATTTCTGCATAAATAAAATCTAGTATAAATGGACAACACAACCCGTCACACTGTGTCAAAAGCCAAAGAAAACAAGTGAGTTTTAAAAACAGCCAGAGAAGACGACCGTCAGTTGCAGAGCTTGTTCCAAAGTTCAGGAGCTGCTGCAGCAAAAGATGAATCCTCCTCAAGTTTCAGTCTGGTTTCCTAATAAAAGCTGCAGATTCTGCTGTAATTCTGCTCCACAGGACATTTTTCTGTTTCCTGTGAATGTTCCCTCTGAACAAACAGTTACTTTGTGTTTTTCTATCAAATCAAATAATGTGACA